GGAAAACTCATGGAGCGCTTCATACCTGAAACATACCTGCTTCCCCAAACGCCTTTTTATAAAAATGATAATCAAGCTTATTAGTTGGGTATCTGCTTCTGCATTCGAGTTAAACATTTTTTTTAAATGCTGCTCACGAAAACAAAATAAGAATTAAAATGTAAAGTATAATAAGTTATCTAACACCTCCCAACCCTGCAGAGCATTTGGTAGTTTTTCTTTATTTAAATTAATGACATACTAAAGCATCCAGATAATTAATGAGTAAAGATGTAAAAAAAAAACACTTGATTTGATGTATGGAAAGTTTATGCTGCATGAAAATTCAGAGAGCCACAAAGCCACGACACAATAACTCAAAAGCATCAAACGCAGCACGCAGACGTGGCAGCGTGTGACGTCTCACTGTAAATCATGATGCTGATGCACGGAAGGCGTCTGAGCAAAGCAGGACATGCATGATTACAATAAAAAAAAATAAGGATAAATACGCAGGAGAAAATCAAGCAGGCTGATCAGCGGCCTGTGAGCGCGTGTGGTCACTTGTGGAGGAGAGTGTGTGGAGCTTCTGTTGTCTGGAAATCCTTTTAATTTGTTCTTTTTTTTTTAAAGAAGAAAAGCAAAGCTGCCTCATGAGGAATAAAAATATAAATGGAGAAATGAGGTTAGAACAGATCATTTAAGAGGTCACAAGAGAAATGTGAGAGTCTGAAAGTGCAGCTAAGATGAGAAAGAATACAAATTGTATATATGCTTTCTTCTTGTGCTTAAAAAAAAGAATATACACATAATATTCTTTAAAGATTTGACATATTTGCAGGTGAATTATTCAAAAAGGTCACATGGAGACACTGCTAAATTGTAATAAGATTAAAGACTGGAACCACTGACAGCAACAATCAGTGTTATTTAGTGTCACCAGGTTTGACTGTATTTAAATTTTGTGTCCAGTTTTTTCTCCAAACAATTTGATCTAAAAAAACAAAAACTAGATCAAATATAACAAACTCCTGACCACTGAGGAGTTTAGATTATTATTTATTTCTTAAATAAGATGACACGAGGATAGGTGAAGGGTTTTAAATACAAATAGTGGCTTTTTGCTAAAAATTGTTCTTATATATATAAAAAATAAAACAGGAAGTAGGAGATGTGTGATTGACGCACACATTTTGAAAGTTGACGGAAATATTAACACCAGAAATGTATATTTAAAAAAAATAAAATAAAATGAAACAAGGTGCCTTTGACGTGTTTGGAGTAAAGACAAACATCCAGATGCGGGTTTTCTGGATTGAAAAGTTGCAAAATGAATAAACGGTTAAGTTGGCGCAGGATGAACTTTTCCTTTTTTTTTTTTTTCTTTCTCCGCAAACTGTCCGGCGCAGAGCCTGATGGATGCGCTTCTGGATGCGACACTTTCCACGCGTGTATCCGCTGAACTGACCACGGAGGCCCACGGAGCACGTGTCCGATAAATTTAAAATAAAATAATAAAATAAAATAAAGACACGCAGCGTCTCTCCATCAGTGGATAAAGTGTTGGTGTTAAATCACTTCCCGACTGGCGCAGCGCATTAAACAGCCGTGCCATGATTCCCTTTCTCTCAGCTCACGCTCCCTCCTCCCTGCTTTTCTTTTCTTTTTTTTTCTTCTTTCTGTCTTTCTTTATCAGCTCGTTCACCATTTCATTTCTTTCAAATGAGAATTCAGGGAAATTCAAGCCCCCGCGTCTTCAAACAACACAACTGTATCCGGTTTTTACTTTTTCTCCCGTCAAAATGGTATCCCAGATTCAATTTTAGATAGACCAGGATTTAGCCAGTGATGATTTCTTTCTTTCTTTCTTTTCTTTTTTTTTTTCTTTTTCTTTTTTTGGTCTTTCGGAGACAATATTTAATATGCTGAAATGAGATCAATTTTAACCCCCTCCTCCTCCTCCCAAATTGTGTCAAATCTCGCGTTGACACCAAAATGAATGCATGTTTGATAAGCGAGCCTGTGTGTTTGGCACATTTTTCCTCTTCTTGTTCTATCATCATCATCATCATCATCATCACCATCATCTTCAGCCTCTCCTCTCCTCTGGGGGAATTTTTTTTTCTTTCTTTCTTGGTCTCTTTTGATTTAGGAAATTAGCACGTCTAAACACAAAACCACACTGCCACTTATCAAACTCCATTTGCTGCTGATGATTTCAGGGTGACATTAAAACACAATCATGTAAATGACCCATGGCTCTTAATTAAAAAGGTCCTCCCCATCCTATTTTTTTGTTTCATCTATTGTATTTTTTGATATTTTAAAACGTGGGGGGAATAAAATAATAATATTAAATAATAATAAAAGAAGTCAAAGCGCCTGCTTCAGTCGGTGTTTCCCCTCCTCGTTGACTTTTATCACTAAATGAAGCATATAAATGACCTGAAAGCGCTTGGCTGTCGCGTTAAATTAAATAAAATAAAGAACAATTATCCTCTCCTTTTTTTTTTTCCTTTTTTTTTTGCCTCTGATCTCGAGCTGAAAAGGAGTCCTGGAGAGATAAGGCAGATTGAATTCTCTCTGTTGTGCTCCAATAAAAACGTCAAGGGGGGAAGAGAGATTTAAACACACACACACTCACACACACACACACATACATACACACGCATACAGGCACATTTTCCCCTATAATTTCAAATCATAATTTCCCTCCCATTATACCTCTCACATGCCGTTTATCGTTATTTATTTCAGGGCGTTGTAACCGCAGTCAATATCCGTGACTAAGTTGGATAATTACAGGTGCGGAGTGAATCCTGTAGCCGGTAAAACTTGAAATGAAAGAGATTTCAAACAACAGCACCGTCTCACACACAGCTGATGTAGCTTTTATGTATGTAT